AGGCAGCGCTGGGGAGAGGGTAAAAAAGGGGGGGGGCTGCAGGGGGTGTCCCGCAGGCTGGTGGAGGTGGGGACTTTCCAGAAGGTGATGGAGGGAGAGGCTGGCACCCGAAGTGGGGGGAAGAGGCTTTCCGCTGGGATGGAGGTCCAGGACCGGGGCGCTGGGAGGAGGATGGGGAGAAACGCACCCCACGGGGGGACAGAGGGACACAGGGGGACAGAGGGACACAGATGTACACCCGGCCAAGGCACACACACACAGGTGTGGTTCGTTGTAAGGAGCCACAATGCACCCAGGACTCTCAGGAAAAAAAAAAAAAAAAAGGAATTTGGAGGAGAGGCCTGGGCAAGCATGGCCCGGCCACGCTGGCCACAGGACCAGGATTTGCCCTCCTGGACACACGGCCTGGGAGGGAGCAGCCAGAACAGGGAAACGTCTGCAGGCTGCTCAGTCGCTCCCCCGCGAAGGCTTTTTATGGACATTTCTGGGTGACTCTGCAGCACCTTCCCGTGTGGTCTTGTTGCCCCTGTGGTAAATCTTTGTTTTGAGATATTAAAAGAATGCAATTATTTCCCAAAGCAGCCAAAACAAAAGCTCTTGCCCAGCTCTGGCATGTGTGAGGACACACCGTATTGATGGAAGAAAGAGATAGCTGCAGCATTACTCATCCCCACGCTCAGACCTGGATTTTCCCACCACTTCCAGGGGCTCGGGGCAGCCTGGCAGGGTGAGGCAGCGCAGGGGCTGCGAGGGATGATTTCATCCAGCACCGGCTCCTCTCTGCGGGTTTTGTGTCCCTGAGCACAGAGGTGTGACGGCCCAGCACCCGCTCGCAGCGTCTCACTGCCATGCCAGCTCTCTGCGTCAGGATGAGACCCAGGCAGGTGTGACAGTGCCCTTGGCTGGTCTTAAAACCCTGGCTGGTCTTAAAACCCTGGCTATCAGCGGGGTGAGGTCAGAAAGGGACCCGCTAGAGGACATCCACCCCGCAGGGTAGCTGTTAACAGGCGCCGGTCACAGCCGTGCCCCAAACTTCTGCTCAGCCGTGGCTGTGGTTTGTCTGGGTGCTGGGAGGGCTGCACATCAAATACCATTCCCAGTTAGGACACTGGTGTCCTGTTCTGCACCCCCCCGTCCCTGATTTTTATTGCCAGCGGCCGTGTGGCACCTCCGTTCCTCACAAGAGGTCAGGGATGCACAACCAGCAGCTTCAAGCTGGTCCTGGGTCCTTTTCGCCTTCAAACCACTCCCCACGGGCAAATCTCTGTCCCCAGTTTAAAACGAGTCATCTCCCACCAGTAAGTCGGGAGCAGACTGCGCTGAAGCGGAGTTGCAATACTCAATTATTTAGTGTGCAGTAACAGGAGCTGCTGTTTCAATCTGCAAGTGGCCAGCGGGGCCCATCGGGCAGATAAACAAGGCGTAGATGAGATTAACTAAACTGCTGTAATTTCAATGTCAAAGTAAACAGATAGGATCCTGTTCAGGCACAGCCCAGAGATTGCAGAAGCGTTGAGAGGGGAAGGTACAAACCTTCTACCAACAAACAAAACAATTTCACTTGACTAAGATGAAAGTGTCGGCGTCTCCTGGACACTGGAGCCCGCAAGAGAAACGCTATCGCCAGCCCTGGGAGCGCTCCTGGTTTTGCCCAACGGTTCAAGAAAGCTCTTGAGCACACATTTAACTTTGAGCACGTGTTTAATACTCCCCGATGATTTATAAGGATGCTTCCCAGAAGCCTTCCCCGTGATGAGAGGAAGCGGAGCCTTAGGTAGCTTCTCTTTCTGCTCCTACCAGATAAATTCTTTTCTGTCATTTTCTGTGTTGTCACTGATACTAGGCTTAGGTATGCTTTTGTTTTAGACTGGCTCAGGAAGCCTATTTTAATGGAAATGTCAAGGGACACAGATCTAAGTCCACTGGAATCCACTGATAAGGATCCTCTATTGTAACAGTATTGCTACCTCTTTCCCAGCAGTGGGGAAATCCACTGAAATTCCCCCTGCCTCCCCCAGCTGCGGCCTTAGAAATCCTAAACAGGGTTTCTCCTGCGGCAGCCCTTTGTACCACAGGCCCCAGTGCATGTCCGCTAAAACCAACATGAAAGTCAACAAGGAATTTGGCTCGATGTCAGGCAAACCTACTCAAAGCTAGTCTAATCAACTCGACGCTTTGTCATTAACGGAAGCTCTATTTATTTGCAGGCTCCTAACTTTGTATTTATTTATTTCTTATTTTTAAATAAACGCTACAGCATTCCCTTGGTGCTAGAAACATCCACATTGTGGTCAAAACCTACAGCTCGGCTTTTGGACTCGGTGACAACAGGCTCTGTTCACCTCTGCTTGTGGACTGGTAAAGGAATAAACTTTCCCCAGAAGTTTACAGCAGTGAGACCTCCAGGAGGGAAAGGAAGAGCTCCACTAGGCATTAAAATACCAAAGACAACAAAAAGTTTAATGATCACCTCTCCTTAGTGGTCTTCCAAGCTGGCAGCATTCCTCACCTGCTGCTGGGTAATGCTCAGG